ATTTCCTCTCCAGAACAGAGACAAATGAATACACCAACACCAAAGTAAAGTTATCCCCTGTGGAAAGAGGGTACAAGAGCAATCCAACATGAACAATAAAAAGGACTCTAGGCTATGGGCAATGACAACTTAGGTCAGGAAAAATCATTTTAATCATAATAGATGGGAATAGATTGGGTTTTGAAAAGAAACAATTGGTATGACATAATCTTCTATTTGTTAAATCAAACTTGACAGGCATCAAGGTTCAGAGTAAGCAAAATGATACAGTAATACCAAACTTTTTAAACCAATTAATTTATTTGTATGTGTGTATATGTGTCTGTGTAGGTACAACTGTGCCACAGCAAATGTATGGAGGTCAGAGGACAACTTGTAGGAGCTCATTTCTCCTTCCACAGAATGGGTCATGTGATTAAAGTCAGATCTTAAGCTTGATGCCAGGCACCTTTCCCCAGAGTCTCTTGCTGACACAAACAAAAATTACCAGGTATCTGCATACCAGAACTAACAGTTGAAATTAATATATATATGTAATACTAATTAACACAGGGGGAAAAAGTATAAATCACTGTACCGAAAAAAAAAATAAAAAAGGAACTAGAAATATAGAAACCGCCATGAAGCAACTGAACTCACTGTGGATACAATAGATTTAGTGAACTCAAGAGACTCAAGAACTCTTGACAGATGCTGAGAAACTAGAAGGAAAAAACAAAAATAATAAAGTCATCTACTAAAGCATTCCCATAAGACCATGGCAAGAGCACTTAAGGTGGTGAAAGGTAAAATTCTCTACCCAGAGAAAAGCCAGTGTGCATATCCCAGCGCTGAGGGTGACTCCTTTGTCTAAACACAGCGTATGGAGCTGGAACCCATCCAAGAGCGTGTGAGCAAGGTTATTTTGTATTTGACTGTCTGTGTGTGACAGTGAACAATCATGTTCCAACATAATCAAATCTGACTTCACGTAATTTGTAGAATGTTAAAGCATACTTCAAAAGAAACTTTAGACTTTCCTATTTTGAAAAATATGAGATAAAAATTTTGTGTGTCAAACTTAATAGGATAAAACATTAAGGAATACAAATATGTTACTAATAATTAGCAAAAATGAGTTCTTATTAACAGTACCAAACATTCCTCTAACTTTAAAAAAAGAACAATGTGAGGAGGGGACTTAAAAACAGAGAATTTTCTCTATAAAGTATCATGGAGCCACAAAATAACATAGAATTTAAATCTCTGAATATTGGATGGCTATTTTTCTGACAAAAATTCCAGCCCTTTATTTTTGCAGAGACCAAAGAAAGGACAAACAAATCCCAGATTAGAGAAGTATAATCTGAAGAAATTAAGAAAGAAATATAGGCCGGGCAGTGGTGGCGCACGCCTTTGATCCCAGCACTTGGGAGGCAGAGGCAGGTGGATCTCTGAGTTCGAGGCCAGCCTGGTCTACAGAGTGAGTTCCAGTACAGCCAGGGCTACATAGAGAAACCCTGTCTCGAAAAAACAAAAAAAAAAAAAAAAAAAAAAAAAAGAAGAAAAAGAAGAAAAGAAAGAAAGAAAGAAAGAAAGAAAGAAAGAAAGAAAGAAAGAAAGAAATATAACTGAATGTGACGGTGAGCACCTTTAATCTCAGCACATAGAGAAGCATGCAAATCGTTAGACGCCAACCTGGTCTACAAAGTGAGTTTCAGGCCAGTCAGAGCTACAGAGCTGCATAGTGAGACACTGGAAGAAGGAATGAAGAAAGGAAGGGAAGAAAGGAGGGAGAAAGGGAAGGAAGGAAGGAGGGAGGGAAAGAAGACAGGAGGGATGGAAGGTGACAGCAAGACTGGAAGATACTTGGGCACCAAAACAGGAGAACAAAGTGTTTATAAACTAAATTTGACACAGGTAGCCTGTGGCTAATTGGAATACACTTAGGCTCTCTTCAAAACTATAAACATGCCACACACAAAACTTGGCTATTTTAACATCTATATTTACTCTGTGTGTGTGTGTGTGTGTGTGTGTGTGTGTACATTTGGAATGCATGCCAGAATTACCTGCTGGGCAAAACAGCACTTACAATCAAAATGACATGAAGTTAGTTCCCTATAGAACCTGAGTGCCTAAGACACTATGTTTTCTACTAACTTAAAGAAAATAAATCTGGTCAGATTAAGTAGTGGCAACATGAGGAAAATACTGAAGTTACACCATATCTTCAGAGTCACCAAGTCTCGGAACATCACCTCTGGCCTCCTAAATGTATCTACTCATCTATAAGCATCTTTTCTGAACTTTTCAAGACAAAAAGATTGAAAAACAAGTTTCCTTCTGCACTTGGATGTCTTTGAGTATGCAGCATAAAGGCTGAAAGCTAATTTTCTTCACTCTGGCTTATAGGATACCAGTTTACATTCCAGTAACAATTTGTCACTCTGGAAATATAACAAAAAGATGTTAGCTGGTTCTACAGAGTCCCTCCTAAAACAATAAACAGTACACACACAGCCAGACATAGTAGCTCATATCTGCAATCCAGCACTGAGGAGCTGAAGGTTTTACAGTGTGAGATAAGAGCTTCTAGTTTCAGGAAATTCCTTTACCTAGAGTCTCTCCAAGATTAGTATTTCCTTAGCAATATCTGCCTAGCATGGTTTTAATTAATCAGACTTCCCTAGAACTTACTGACCAAACAGACACTACACTGATCTAAAAATATCATTTATAAAATTAGGTAAAATGTTCTTTTGGATGGATTTCTTTGAATGGGCCTTGTGGAAAACATTACAATCAATTTATTGATTATAAAACCTATAGAAGGGGCTAGAGAGATGGTTTTGCCATTAAGAGCACTGGCTGTTCTTCCAGGGGACCAGGGTTTAATTTCCAGCACCCACATAGCAGCTTATGGGTGTCTGTAACTCCAGGTGCCGGGGACCTGATAACCTCACACATACATGCAGACAAAACACTAATGCATACAAAATAAAAATAAATAATTTTTAAAAATTTATATTTAAGGCCGGGCGGTGGTGGTGTAGGCACTTGGGAGGCAGAGGCAGGTGGATTTCTGAGTTCGAGGCCAGTCTGGTCTACAGAGTGAGTTCCAGGACAGCCAGGGAGGGCTACACAGAGAAACCCTGTCTCAAAAAACCAACCAAACAAACAACAAACAAACAGAAAATTCAAGACTATTTAGTTCACAATTTCTACTTTAAGCTAAAAGGAAACTAAATTAAATATATAATGATCATATACAGTCATGAAAAAACTAAGAATTCAGACTTCAGGCTGGGTGTGGTGGTGCATGCCTTTATTCCCAACACTCAGGAGGTGAATTCATGGCCGGCCCAGTCTACAAAGTAAGTTCCAAGGTAGCCAGGGCTATTACAGAGAGAAACCGTCTCAAAAAACAAACAAACAAACAAAAAAAACAAAATTCAACCTTCAACCTTCACGAACAAAATAATGAATCTTGCTCTGAACTCAGATGGATGCTACAGATGTACTCAAATACTACGAATCTATTGTACATCTGAGCCAAAAATCCACAGATGAACTAACACATTGGTCAAGGATACAGCACCAACCAAGGACTATCCTTGGTGTTTCTTTTTCCTTGTGAAATTTCTCTCATTTTCTTTGTCTCTTTTTTTTCTTTTTCTTTTTTTTTTCTTTTTCTTTTTTTTTATTTTTTGATTTTTCCAGACAGGGTTTCTCTGTCCAGCCTTGGCTGTCCTGGAACTCACTCTGTAGACCAGGCTGGCCTCAAACTCAGAAATCCGCCTGCCTCTGCCTCCCAAGTGCTGAGATTAAAGGCAAACACCACCACTGCCTGGCTTCTTTGTCTCTATACAAATGCCCAGACTTATTTTACTCACAGCATTAAAATATGAGATAGAGAACTGGTAGAAAAAAGAACCAGAGACAGGCAGTGGTGGCGCATACCTTTAATCCTAGCACTTGGGAGGCAGAGGCACTCTGATTTCTGAGTTCAAGGCCAGACTGGTCTACAGAGTGAGTTCCAGGACAGCCAAGGCTGGACAGAGAAACCCTGTCTGGAAAAATCAAAAAAGAAAAAAAGAAAAAAAGAAAAAAGAAAAAGGAGAAAAAAGAACGAGGCATGGTGGTATGTACCTTTAGTCCCAGAACTCCTCAGGAGACAAAGAGGTGGATCCCTGTCTTTGTGGCAGCCTGGTCTACAAAGCAAGTTCCAGGACAGCCAGAGCTACACAGAGAAACCAAAGCCTGTTTCAAAAAGCACACACAGAAAGAAAGGAAGGGAGGGAGGGAAGGAGGGAGGGAGGGAGGGGGGGGGAATCAAATGGGGGCCATGAGAGAGTTCAGCAGGTCTCCAGCTTCCACACTGTAGAAGAGAATGGACTCTGGAAAATTTGTCCTCTGACCTCCACACAAGTGTCATGGCACATACTCCAACAAAACAAATAAAATTTAATTTTTGAAAATCTAATGGGAAACATAAGAAACAAATTCCTTAAATTTAGTTTTAACAATAATAGCTGATTCCATTAAAAACTGTTTCTTCTTTCAAAAGGAAAATTCAGAATTGGCTTTAGAAGTAAACAGGCAAAGGAGACGCACACTTGAACAGCATCTCCTCACGTCAAGTACAAGCCTTCTGGCGAGCTGTCTCAGAACGGAGTACTAGCTGCATAGCAAGACTTCAAAACAAATAATCACACTCATGTTTGCTAAAAACTGCAAAAAGATAATTCAGTAACAAGTTCTTAAGAACTGCACTAATCGCCAGGCAGTGGTGGCGCACGCCTTTAATCCCAGCACTTGGGAGGCAGAGGCAGGTGGATTTCTGAGTTCGAGGCCACCCTGGTCTACACAGTGAGTTCCAGGACAGCCAGGGCTACACAGAGAAACCCTGTCTCGAAAAACCAAAAAAAAAAAAGAATTGCCCTAATCAACCAAATCTCCTCAGTAGCAGCAATCTGGCAACCTAAGATGCTGAGAAGAAACAACTTCATGGAGCTTACCTTGAGAGCACAGAAGATGCAGGAATCACCCATGCACTTGTGAGTTGTAAGCTGCCGAAAGCTACGGCGGAAGATGTCCAAGTGCCACAAAACCTTCCAAAAAAGGGGGAAACTCATTATCCTACAAACAGCCTTTAACTGCCTTTAACTTTAAAGTCAAGAATTCAAGCAAACAGGAACTGACTGCAGAAAAAAAAATCTTTACTCTCAGAACAAAAGACCATTCTTATAATATTAAAACAAATCTCAAAAAAAAAAAAAAAAAAAAAAAGGTGAAGCATCAGGGCTGGAGAAGGTTCAGTGGTTAAGAGCACATACTGTTCTTGCAAAGTTTGGTTCCTAGCACCCACAGTAGATGATTCACAACAATCTATAACTCCAGTTCTAGGGGATCCACCATCCTTATCTGGCCTCCAGAAGCATACTGCATTCATGTGTACAAACCCATACACAGACACAAAGACACAAAGACACAAAGACACACACACACACACACACACACACACAAAGAGAACTTTTAAAACATTTTTTAAATCAAAGGAGAAAATTGGAATATAGTATCTAACAAGAATGACAAACAAACATATTCTAGAAAAGTCAATCATTTCAACAGGAAATAAAAGTCATCCAGTGAAAATATCCTATGACAAAAATCAAATGTGATGTTTAAGAAGAAATTTAGGGATTAAAAACTGTAGAATTGGACTAGGGGATTTGTCATGTGATAGAGCACTTTAGCGAATGTAAGGTCTAGATTCCATGTAAAGGAACATGTAAAGGAACAACTCATCAATAAATGGTACAAAATGAATGGTCTCCACAAGAAAAGGATGAATACCTTTAAATTTGTATTAGAAGTTCAAACCAAGCCGGGCGGTGGTGGCGCACGCCTTTAATCCCAGCACTCGGGAGGCAGAGGCAGGCAGATTTCTGAGTTCGAGGCCAGCCTGGTCTACA